GAGAGAGAGAGAGAGAGAGAGAGAGAGAGAGAGAGAGAGAGAGAGAGAGAGAGAGAGAGAGAGAGAGAAGCACACAGACTTTTGGGGAATCAGAAGCACACAGACTTTTACTTTCCAGACTTGTAGGAGGATTCGATCCAATGTGTACCAAGCCCCGGAGGAAGCAAATAAGTCAGGTTATGGTTGGAGGTAGCTTCAGTTCCTTCAAACTTTCTAAACAAGTGTGATTAAATGGCAGGATGATCCACTTTACTATCTCTAGAATTCTTTGTAATCTTAGGTTATGCTAGAATGATGTTAGACAACAAGTAGAAATTTCGGTTATGTGGATGGACTAACAAAATAAAACACAACACTAGTAGAATCCTCCCCAAGATTTAAACAACACTGTTCCAAGTGTTACTTACTCTAAGTTTGGTCAGATAAACAGAAGAACTTTAGGAGGATGTTAGAATCAGAAAAATTATACCTCTCTGTCGAGACCATCATGGCACAGATAAGAGATAAACCGTCATGGCACCTTTGGGCTTATTCTTGTTAATATCAAAAATGGGCTTTCGGTCACGCTTTGGACCACTCCTTGACTTAAACCTTTTAACGATTTTTCCGAGAGATCACCCTTGATATGACATCGGTTTTATAAAACGTTAAGTCAATCGTATAACCAAAGAAATTTGTGTTCCAAGTTAACCGTTTCTGTTTACACAATCGACTTGAACTCATCCAACAAAACCAATGTTGGCGGTTTTTTTCATAGAGTTTCTACGATAATCTTTGCTTGAGACGGAACAAGAGATAGAGGGGGTATGGTCTGTAAGGAGGAGCTACGGGAATGAGACGAGGATGTATGGTACTTTTTTAGTCGTAACTCACCATACAACGAGATTTTGTGCAAGCCGATCACTATACGGCTTCCCGATCGGGTAACGGATAGGTCACATTCTAACGACCTGGTCGTGTAACGCACATGTCCCCGTGCAGCGAACTGGTCATGTACCAAGCATGTCCCGTGTAGCGACTTGGTCGTGTGACGGGCGGGTCACTATGCGGCGACCCGGTCGTGTGACAAACAGGTCGCCGTGCGTTGACCTGGTTGTGTACCAAGCATGTTGCTGTGCGGTGACCTGGTTCCGTTCGGATAGGTCGTCGTGTGGAGAGCTAGTCGTGTGATGGGCAGGTGACCGTGGGGAGACCTGGTCCTGTACAGACAGGTCGCCGTGCGGCGACCTAGTCGTGTACCAAGCAGGTCACTGTGCGGTGACTTGGCTGTGTACCAAGCAAGTCGTTGTGCGGCGACTCGGTCTTGTAACAGACCGGTCGCCATACGGCGACTCCGATTCATGACGTCTCAGTCGTTCTTCTAGATTTGTCTCAGGATTTGTCCAAAATCAGTGAATCCAGACATTGGCTTTGAGGTTATCGTTAAATAATTCTTGAATAAGTTTTAAACATTCCTTTTCCAACAATTATACGAAAATAAATGTTTCTAGAAATTTCTCCCAGAGACTTTCTGACATTGATTCAGTCGTGACTGGATTTGACCCCAACAGTTGGCCCCCCTAGATCATTAGAACCGTGAACCGCTGGCATGAGGTACTAGTGAGTGGTTAGGCGAGTGAAGCAAGTTAGGTGAATAAGGCGGAATTAATGTCCAAAAGTCCGAGGGTGAATAGTGATTCTCTAAGCCTATAAGAAGGTGGAGTAAGTTTTTCAAGCTCTTTACTTTCATACTCCCAAAAGAAATTTCTATCAAGGTAGAAATCTATCTCCCTTCTATTACTTTTCTTGCTCTTCTCTCTCTCTCTTTTTTTTAAGAAAAACTTCATGTCTTCCAATAATAGATCCTTAAAAAATGGTGTACCTCGCCTGTCCATTCTTGAGAATGTTTGCGATGACAAGGGGATTATCCCGAAGTGGGGGGGAGTTCAAGCCAGAAACTATCAATTCTGAAGAGGCTGAGGCTTATTCGATTGCTACATGCAACATGATAACTCCTCCGGAAGAGGCACCGTATCCCGCCAGGCCCACGTAAAAATAAATGGTGGCTTTCCGAGCAGAAATACGCATTCCCACCTTGGTGCCCTTCGAGATTTTTGTCGAGTGCCAGACAAGGTGGAATTCTGAATCCCGAAGCGAGGGGGAGCATGCCGATGATCCTCCGGAACGGTACTTTACATGCTATGATGCATTTCTGACACGCTGTCACTTGAAGTTTCCGACCCCAGAGACATTGATTCGAGCTTTGAACCATTTAGAGCTCTCGATAAGTCAGTTGAACCTTACTAGTTTGCAACACCTAACCGGCATCCTAGTCCTTAGCTATGAATATGGGGTTTCTCTCGACAGTGACCATTTTTAGGCTCTCCTTAGGCCGCAAGGGATGTCGATCCTTTTATGTTTTGCCTAGTCCCTCGCCCTTTTATGTTCATAATCAAGGAGCTGATATCCAATGGACATGCGTGGAAAGAATCTTTTTTCTTTCTTCGTATCAACGGCACATCTGTCCAAGAAAACTGCATCTCCATGTTTCGTAGCGAGTGGAATTTCAAACATGGTACCTTGGTTAGGCATCTCTCCGATTTTTGTTACCAGTGATGTCTAACTTTGCTTTCTGCATTATTTTTTTGCAGATAACAATCATGTTCCTCCGCTCTCGGGGGACTTGGTTGCGAATAAGGATCTTCACCGTAACGGCTCGTTCTATTGGACTTCGTTCACCCCAAATAGATTTTGGAAAGCGTTGAAACTTCATCGATCCCAAGGCCACTCTCAATCGTTTGTTGAGGTTGAAACTTATTCGGACATGGATGAACCTGCTTCCCACATTGTCCCCATCCAAAGGAAAAGAGACAGATCACTGAAGAACAAAGGGAATGCACTCGATGATATCGACTCCTTTCGGATGATCCTCCATTGCCCGAATAGTGTCCTGGTTTTGTTTCGGGCGATGGGAGTGGAACCAGCAAGATCCCTCTCCCGAGAGGCGGCTTTGACGATTTCTTTGCCAACCTTCCTCCGAGATTTGATACTTTTCTAGCCATGGATGAGCCATCGAGGACAGAAGTAGTTACAGAGGGCACCCGAAGGATTAATGGGGGTTGGCTTCTTAGACTTTGTTGGTTTTAGGCGCTGAGTTTCTTTATAACGTTTTGAAATCTCTGTAGGGTATGGAAATGCTTAAATCAGCCCTCGAGATGAGCTATAAGCATGCCTAGGCCATTCGTCATGCAGAGAGGAAGGTCAAACAAGCTGAGAAACCTTGTCCGTTTGCAAGTTGAAAAGTCCGAGCGGGATCGGAAGTTGTCCAAAGAGCATGCCTAGGCTATTTGTCATGCAGAGAGGAAGGCCAAGCAAGAAATCATTTCCATGATCGGGGGTCGTGCTTCTCAATATGCGGATGGATGTGAGAAGCTCAAGTAAGCATAATATCTTGTGGGTGATTTCCGTGAATGTCGAGGTTCTGTTGGTACCTTGTGGTGAACGTAAGAAGCTGACTACTGATTATGTTCCTAGCTGAAAGAGATGATCGGCTTAATGGGGAATTGTGATCATGTTGAATCGATGATTCCTCCGATCGAAGGGAGAATCCAAAGACTTTGGGACCCAATTTCGCTTAACCCAATACAGTGGAGATCAGGGATATCGTTGGTGAGGATGGGGTGGTGAACCAGCCTGCAGAGACATTCGGGGATTCCATGCCCGAAAATTTTGAGTTTGATCCTTGAAGGGCAGTGGGTATGATTTCCCTTATCCTTATGTATTACGGTTTCTCATGTTTTAGGCAAATTGTGGATGTTCTATATTTGAGTGTTCTTTGGTCAAGTGTGGCCGTTTTATCTCCTTATCGGGACTGTCGTTTGTGGCTCTAAATCCCTGCCGTTTATGCGGCTTTTTATATAAATAGTGAATCATTTCATCGTTTTTATGAGCTTTGATTTATGCTTTCGTAGAGTATTGAGTGAAGGATATGGATACGTTGGATAGTCACTTCATATCTGAATCCAGGTGAATCGTTCTATTCATTGCTCGTTTTAAACGGGATGCTCGAAAATTTAAGATTCTGCGAAGTTTCCGTTAGCGCTTAGATTTGAACGGAGAGACATATTTTAGGATCTTGTATTGATTTGATATCATGCTTTAAGATGAAAGAGACTACTGTGTTGGAGTTTAGGCAAGACCTAGGTATATTCTCAGTTTAAGGTTTTGCGATGACTAATCGGCCTTAGGTTTACCTTCATGATTTTAACCTGATTCGTACCGATTTAAAGTACGCGATAGGTTCTGGGCTTATATAACTTGTGTGGTAGGAATCGAGCATCTCAGCAAAGACAATTTTTATGTCGCTTGGAAGTGCTGACCAAAATTCGGAATTTTTTTATAGCGTGTTATTATCCTAGACGGATGTACGAGGTTCAACTCTGAAAAGTTAAGGTCTGAATTAGCGTTCAATTACAGAATGGTTGTTATATTCGTCAGGGCCAGTCAACGAATGTTTGGAAGCGAGTAAATGCTTTTTTCTAACAAGAGCTAGTTTTTATAGTCTCTCATTTATTTTCCAGAAGTACATCGTCAGATGATCTTTAGTTTTCGGGTATGTGCTCTTGCTAAGTATTTTAAGCGGAAGTTGATTCCAACCGAGAGAAACTTGCGCGGGAGATCAGCGTGTTGCTTTTTTTTTCTGTCCCAAAAGGTTTGTGTGGTTTTTGAAGATGTTTGGATAGAACCGTGGAGGCTCATACGTTTATCTGAAGGCTGCCTTGGAGAGCTCATGGAGTTTGATTTGTGGACAAATGTCTTGTTTATTTTCGGGTTATCCATAAATGTTTTGTTTGTACTTAGAATTTTCCGAGATTTTTATACGATAAAAGAGGTTTCTGCGAGATTTTGAACAAAATCTTTATTGCATTTATTTATATATTGAAAATTTTAAAAATATCGGGTACAAAGGCGAATATTTAAAATGTGAGATTATACGAGTATACATATACACACCCACTCCCCACCTTTTCAGAGAGGGGGAACACTGAATTCATCTTGCAATGAAATGCTTACGTAGCCCTTTCGGGGATCAAGCCGTCTCGTAGTTCAGTTTGTGCCGTGAGTGTTTTTACTCGACTGCTGCGGCTGCGCCGTTCGCCACAGTTGCAGTGGCTGGATTGGCGTCTTCTTTGGGGTTTGTTTCCTCCGGTTGGGTAAGGATGTTAGGCTTGGAGTCATGCTGGTTTTCACTATCTGGAGCCGTAGCTGCAGCAGATGATGATGAGTCGTCTTTCCAAAAAGTATTCAGACTTGGTCTGAGTTATCTTTGCTCGTTTGGATCTAGCCTAGAGGTCATCGTGATTTGTCGTAGTTTGTGTTCGGCCAGGAAGCAGAGTTGTGACTACTCCTAACGTCCCCAGATTTCTGCGATTCCCGTAGGAGTTGGGAATTTGATGCCAAGGGGTATGCAAACTGGATTGCTTTCATAGCATTTATCCAAAGCGTGCCCATGACTAAGTTGTAGATGGCAGGGTGATCAACGACCACAAAATCAACAATCTTGGTGATCTCTATTACCGCGATCGGGAGTTTGATCAATTTGAGAGTCATTAATGTTTCACCTGAGAAACCGGTTAACGGTTTTGGTGTTGGTACGAATTCACCAAGATATACATTCATCCTTCTGAGGAGTGTGTCAAAAAATCACGGTTACCATGGTTCTAGTATCTACGAGGATTCGAGCGACCTTGATGTCTCTTATTACGAGATCAATGACGAGTGGGTTGTTATGTGGCTGGTCGATTCCGCTTATCTCCTCTTCTCCGAAGGTGATTGCATCGCTCGAGATATCACGTGGTGGCATTTTCCAGTTTTCACTTGTCTCGGATTTTTTCTGGTAGGCCTTAATGGACGAGACTGTATATTGTTACGGAATTGTGACCCTCTGATGATCATATTAACCTGCCGTGATTAATTTCATTTCTCCTCTCGTTCTGTTTTCTTCCATGTTTTTCATTTGACTGGTTGCCTTGAGAAGAGTTCGCATAGGGATTTGTCAGTCTTTGGGCAGTCGGAATCGTGGATGAGATTCTTCACAATGGATACTTCAGAGAGTTCTCTCTGCAAGTAGATTGGCAGCCAGCTTTGCCTTGAAAACTTTGCAGTTTCTGGTTGAGTTGCCTCGAGTCTGGTGGAAGTCGTAGAAGGTATTCTTGTCATAACTTGAATATTTGGTCCACATGTTACCCGAGGTTCGCTATTTTTCTAATCCAGAGATGATGGCGTAGTTATGCGCTCCCTGGAGGTCTAGTCCCTCATGATGAACATACTTGTCGTTACAAGGGTTTTTCTTCTTTGGCTTCTGGTCTGAAACAACCTCTTTCGAGGATTTCCTCGTCGGTTTATGCTTCTGTGACAAGACCCTTGTTTACTCTTCGATGATAGTTCTTGGCCATATGGAGCACATCCTGGATCGTGTGCGGCTTCTCGAGGGTTATCCAATTCTCTAGCTATGAACATAGAATACTGCTTAAGAAACTCCGAAGCGAGTTGGCTAAAACTTCTGATATAATTTTTCCTAAGTCAGGCGAACCACTCGAATGCTGCTCCCTCTAGGTTTTCAACGAAGAGTCAATAATAGTCAGCGTCTCTTTTGCTTTCCCTAAGTCTGGCTCTTCGTATTGTGATCTGAAAAGCTTGCATATGTGCCTTTGGATTGGTTGTTCCGTTGTACGTTTGCACCTTGATCTTTCCAGGATCAGACGCAGTGGTCTCGATGATACGAGCTGTGAAGGGTATTTTCTGAGCTTCTTCAAGGAGATCATCGATTTTGAGAGTGGCACTAGTAGCATATTGAATTTGAGACTACACTTCCCTTACTTCCGTGGCTGTTTTCGTGATGTAGTCACGGAGATTGGAATTTTCGAGATCATCTCCAGCCATTTATTGACTTAGTTGGCGTTTGCTGCGAGTAATCCAAGCCTGTTCTTCGGCTAGTTTCGCTTGTTCCACCTAGAATATTTTTTCCTCTCTTTGGTCATGGGCTTATCAAATGAAGAATAGTACTGAGTACTGCGGCTTCTGGTTCTTCGTAGATGCATGTCAGAGTCCTCCCAAGAAGGAGCGGAGTGGTCGCCGGGATCCAAATCGACTCGCTATATGTTGTCATCTGGGCTCCCTGGTCGTCAGAGGGAAGGTTTTTCATTTTTTTTTGTGTTGCATCAGGGTTGGTTTCATCGGGAGCTTGCTCCAACGAGTTTCCATGTATGTACCTAGGTCAATCAAAGGGAGTCGTGAAATCGAGTCTTCTTCCGCGAAGCTTCGTAGCTCCTCGGGGAAGGACAGCCCTGGTTCTCGCGGTTAGGGTTTCAAACTATTTAGCGAGAAAACCTATGAGTTTTTCTTGTTCTTCAACTTATTTTTGAAGGTGGTGAACATCTCCTTGAATGCTGCGGTGTTAGCGTCGGCATTGACTGCAGACACGTTCGCTACTAGAGTGCTGGTAAAGTTTTCGTGGATGTTTGTTGCCATGTCTGATTGAGCGTTTTGCAGCTGAGAGTTAGATTGATTTGTAACCCCCCCCCCCCACTCCTTCTAGCGCCAAACTGTGCGAACCGGAATTCATACTGTCGATTTCCGTTTATATTAGGAAAGTTATGAATACCCTAATTTCTCCGAGGTCTCGGATATCTGCTAAATCACATGCCAAGCAATCACAAACACAAGATAAACCGTCGAAAAGTATAAAAGTAGAAAAGAGAACAAAAGATATCTTATTCAGATTCTGCGTATATGCGTTACAACAAGGTAAGAGCATCGGCCTCAAGAGCTGTTGGCGAGTTCCCTAGCTCTAACAACCTAAAACTGCAAAAATTTAATTGAATCGCAGCTCAATAAAAAAAAACGAAAAGTTGCCTCTTGCTCTAAATACTAACTTTGCTGTGTGAAAAAGGGACTTGCATCTCTCGCCTCGACTCCTCTTATATACTCCCTTTAGGTCGGTTTGCCTCTTCCTTTTCTGCCCCTGAGTCAAATCTATTACTTCACGGAAATATCCCA